CTCGGGAAGCGCCCCGCGGTGCATCCGCTCGAAGTCGAGAGGCCCTTTTTCCCGTTGATGCGAGCGCGCGTAGTCTAAAAATAACCGAGACAAGAAGGAACACGTGTATATATCCCCGCACGATCTTGTTTTCCCCTCCGAGAAAAAAGCACACCATCTCTCTCTCTCTCTCTCTCAGGGGATATTATGTACCCGAAAGCCGAATGCTTTTACGTGTGCAGTGTACCCCTGGGGTGTTGTCAGCTCTTTCTCTCTCTCTATCTTTCCCTCGTTAACGGCAAGCTCGTTATCAGTAGTTCATACAACTGTGGGTGCATCGAGCATCGCTACTCTTTTTCTATCTCATTATGTCTGCACACGAGATGATCCTAGACTTTTTTTTTTTTTTTTTTTTTTTTTTGTCCATCGTGGTGCTCATTATCTCCGGTGTTACTGGTGTTTTTGGGTTTTGCGAGCAGCGCGACGGACAGCGAGGGAAAAAAGGGTGAAGGTTGATTGATCGATAAAATGGTAATTGATCGTAACCTTATTTCTGGAGGGTCTGTTATTTGGTGCTTCGTCGTAAAATGTACTTAATTTTACGTTTAATTTTACGTTATATTTCTCTGGTAAATTGCGGGAATGGGGTTTCGATGATAGAATAGGTAAGACCATACGAAAATATCATCACGTATACATTACTTTTAAATAGGTACACTCGTTTTACGTTACGAAAAGCTTGGAGTTACTTTCGTTCATACACTTTTGGCTCGCGTCAGTATTTTTCTGATTTTCTTTTTTTAATACATTTTAATAAAATATTATCTACAGATGTTACTTAAGCGCAAATCTTAACGATAAACAATGAGTACGCGTTTCGTACAGTTGAAACGTTCAATTTGAATTCTGAAAAAAGTACATGTACTTGACAATTAAGTTAAATTATTATTGATTTTTAAATACACCACACGCTTCGTTTTTTCAGTAGCTTTAAAAACCACCAGAACTGACCGTCAAGTTACCCCTATATGCTCTTATTATTACTTTAATATATAATTCTTTTGTCAATCTATAGAAAAAAAAAAAAAAAATTATTTGACGATACGCGTTAAATTAAAATCAAAAACTTGATAAAATTTCGCGATTGTTCAAGAAAACCTTGAGCTTTGTCTATTCCTAGTTAGGAAAAAAAGTTATCGTTCGCGTATCTTCCTCGACTCGCAGTTATCTTGAGAATCCGTTCGTTTTGCTTGATGCACTATACAAAACTCGATGGACAAAAAAAGTTTCAACTACGCACTCTTGCTTAGTATCGCCAATAAATAACGTATGATACGCGTTTGGAAGAATTCGTAGTTGCAGAGACAATTGTTTAAACCTCGTTAGGTAAAGTATACCACTCGCCAATAAAAGCGTGTAGTTAAAATTTCAGAGCAGAATAAAATCCCTCGAGATTCGCCGAACCACGTGGCAGCGTGGAAATAAATATACCCTCGATCACCCATTAACAAGAGAGTGCAATTTTACTAAAAACCCAACCACCCGCGCTTCTTTACAGAGAATCGCAAAAACTCAACGATAAATCGTAGAAAAAGCCCAGCATTTATTATTATAAAACCGCGTGCAAGAAAACCAAAGAGAGAGAGAGAGAGAGAGAGAGAGAGAGAGAGTTCAAAGTAGTTAGCGCAAAAAAAAAGATTGCGCGAGAGTACGCAAAGGAATTGCCCAAATGGACTCGGCATCCTTGGGAGTCACGAGTTGTGTCCTCCCTCCCCCTTTTCAATTATCTCAATCTACACGCGGGCCGAGATCCGCATTAAACATCCAGCCACGACAATGGACAGTGAGACACGCAGAGTCTCGTGACGATTAATCATGCGCGTTGTGTTGTCTCTATATCTAAGCTCGCGTGCCTTTGCTCATTCACTTTTTTTTTTTTTTTTTAATTATCTTTCTATAGGTACTTACGAAAACAAGCCTCTGAAATGGCTTTCAAGGAGCGAAGGGGAAATTCGCGATCTCGTGTCTGTCGACGAGTGGGTGTGGGTGTTGTTACATATAAATTCGAAGGATGCAAGGTATAGATGGTAGAGGTGAACGATCCTTTCCATTGTGTGTATGCACCTGCGTAATATGATTTGCCGTTCGAGCGTAATAAGAAGCTTTCGCATTGTCATTGCGATAGATAATACTTATTTATAAAAAACTTGTTTTTCTTTTTTTTTTTTTTTTTTTTCAA